ATGAAGTATGACACTGTCTAATTGAGCTTTGGAGGAGCAGACATTAGTAGGGACAGCTGCCTGTGGCAGGGCCGTTGTACGTACGAGCAGTGACACTAAATGCCAGTGCCGTGGTCCATAGGGAGCGGTGACGTGTTGAGGAACAGAGTTAGTTTACCTTTATTAGTAGTGTGCCTTTGCAGTGAGCCAGAGTTTGTGCTTTCTTATGAAACTACATCTTTTGTGTACAGATCAGTTCTTTTATGCAAGCATAACTTTTGTAAGGGGTGTGCTCTAGCTGTTCATTGTGCGACTGAAATCCTTTAGTTAGTCCTTTCAAGTGGCCTTTGGATACAAAGAAAAGGCCCTAGTTCATAAGTGCTGCTGAAAGAGGTGATGGAAGGTGACTGTGAAGGAGCAGTCAAGTCTGACTTGATATGATCTAGGTACCAGGGTAAGGACAAATACGTAATTTATTTTTTTCCCCTTAATGAAGTGCTGAGTATGGAGAATTTATACAGATAAATTGTTCACTTCTATTTGCATGTCCTGCAATATTTTCTGGAATACCATTGTGGTGTTGTGTCTGTCTGAGCTGTAGGAAATTTGGAGTAGTGACGATGAGTGCATTTTACCTATCTTAAGAGGAGATGGACGGTTGAAGTGAGTTACCATCCATTGAGTTCTGCTTGTGAAGAAAATGCAACCTCGGGAGATAACTTTGTGGGTTTTCTGTCTCTGTGCTCAATAGCTGTATTCTTGCTCAGCTTTGGAGTCTTTAATCTTCCTGGGAAAACTGTGAGCTGCTCTCCATTCCTGCAGGCCCAGCTTCCTTGGTCCTTGTTGCACTTGTAGGCAAATGTTCTCAGTTTGTCAGCAAAACCTTCCTGCCCATGTGAATTGTACATAATCCACAAGGGTCGTGCCCTTTCATAGTGAGTAGCTTTTCTGTCCTTGCACTTCGTTGTACCCAGAGCATTTCCTGTGGCCAGGTGCTGTGCAGAATAACAGTTTTCCTTGATCTGACCACAAGTGCTGCCCAGCAGCAGTGTAGACCTGTGCATGTCATGTGTGGTATATGTTAGTGAATATAGTTACTTGCAGATGTTTATAATCATATCGGTTATTAGAGGGGATGAACAAAGCTGCAGGTGGGTGTCTGTGGGTGCTGGGTGTAGCTCAGAGTGATGTTCTGTGTGGAGGGAAGTGACTTGGGTTTGTTAAGGTAGCGAGGGTTTAGCTTGGCTTAGCTGTTTCAAACTGGATCTTTTCTCCAAACAGTTCAGGGACACAGGAACTGTACAGACCTTTGGCATGGGTTGGTAAAACACTGGTAGGTAGACCGAGGAAGAAATTTTAATTTATCCATCATAATCATTTAAGCTTTTGACATGGAATTATTCTGTTGCAGGTAAATTTCTAGCTCCTTTTTAAAAAGCAGTGAAAGCAATTGTGCAGAGGAGATGCTGCTTTGAAGAGTTTCCTCTCCCTTTATTTTAAATAGTTTCTATTCTTCCTTTCTTTCTGAATCCAAATTAATCTCATGTAGCATCAATCAAAATCTACAAACGGAAACGGGTCAGTGACAGATAAGGACATTTTCAGAGACTAGATGGCTCCTTTCCACAATGCAGCTCCAGGCTTTGGGGAACAATTCAAATGTTTACACTTGCACTATTGAGGTCTTTATTTTTAGTTCCTTTAAGGTTAAGGCAATAAAATATTTTCACCATCTTCAGTGGAATTCACATGCTTGATAGGTAACTAATAAGGTGGAATTTGCAGGTTTTTGTTATGACTGTCTTGCTTATTAAATACAGGATTGTATCTTCATTTTAGTTCTGGTTGCCAGTGCAATATCTTTTCTTCTGCAGAAATGAGTAACCAAACTTTGCCAAAAAAAGCCATTCAGTATTATAATAAGCTGATCGTACTGACTTTTCTCTGGCAGTTTCTATATCTTTCATCTTGAAGCAAAGTTATTTCTGACTTCTATGAAAACACATAGGGTTTCTTGGTGATATTTTTAACCTTATTTCACACTTGATAAACTGTGAAATAGATCCCAGGATGTGTCTTTATCTCACGTAGTACTACATAGGATTGGAAAGCCCACTCAGCAGTGAAACTGCCGTATTGAGCATCTTGTGTATCACTGTGTGGGCAGCACACATGTTGGTGTTTTTGACATTGAACTCAATAGTAAGAAGAACGAGGATTTTACTACAGTTTCATTGCTGATAAAAATAAAAATGAGACTATAAAAATAAAACCCAATCAAGGCAAGAATCAACTTTCTTCTTGCGTGGTGAATCTTTATGAGTTCTAGAAGTTGTTATATCACTTGTGTGAGGCAGTTAAAGGTGAGATCGGACACAAATCCTGATGAGATTTCCAATAGTGCTAACTTTTTGTATTTCTTGCTTGTTTTTGCTGTCTGCTTGCTAATAAGCTATTGCAATTGTTTGTTTGTTTGTTTTTTTCTCTTTGAAGTGTTTTGATCTGATGTCAGAAACGCCTTCAGATTTAGAGGAAGTGATTGGCAATGCAGATGAAATTCTCAAAAAGGTTGAGCTGGCTATTTGTGAAGAACTGAATACTGACTTAAATGTAAGTTCTAGTCCTGCCTGCTATGTAATGAATTCTATGTATTTTACACATCTTTGATTTCAGTCTAAAGCTGTTCTTAATACATCAGATGAGTTTATTCGCTACAAGGCAGCATTTTTTTTCATGGAAATGTGATAGAAAATCACTCGGGTTGCTCCCCAGAGAGATGAGAAAGTGTTTTCCAGGCAACAGACAGGACAGCTTTGGTTTGTAGGAACTTAGCTGTACATGTGACTGCTTAACTAAGAATCATAGAATCATTTTGTCTGGAAAAGACCTTCAAGATCATTGAGTCCAACCATTAACCTAACTCTACAAAGTCCACTGCTAAACCTATCCTTAAGCACCACATCTACATGACTTTTAAACACATTCAGGGATGGTAATTAAACCACTTTCTGGGCAGCCTGTTTCAGGGCTTGATAACCCTTTCAGTGAAAAAGTTTCTCCTAATGTCCAACCTAAGCTTTCCTAGTGCAACTTGAGGCCATTTTCTTTTGTCCTGTCACTTGTTATTTGTGAGAAGAGATGGGCATCCACCTCTCTAGACCCTCCTTTACGGTAATTCTAGAGAGTCAGGTCTCCTCTGACCCTCTTTTTCTCCAGGTTAAACAACCCTAGATCCCTTAGTAGCTCCTCGTAAGACTTGTGCTCTAGGCCCTTCATCAGCTTCATCTGCCCTTCTGTGGACCTGCTTCAGCACCTCGATGCCTTTCTTAATTGATGTGCCCAAAACTCAACACAGTACTTGAGGTGTGACCTCACCAGTGCTGAGTGCAGGGGGGGCAGTTTCTTCCCTAGTCCTGCTGGCCAGACTACTTCTGATACAAGCCCAGATGCCGTCAGCCTTCTTGGCAACCTGGGCACACTGCTGGCTCATATTTAGCTGGTTGTCAAACAGTACCCCTGTGTCCCTTTCTGCCAAACACCTTTCCAGCCACTCTTCCCCAACCCTGTAGTGCTGCTTGGGGTTGTTGTGGGCCAAGTGCAAGTCCTGGCACCTGGCCTTGTTGAGGCTCATACCAATGGCCTCGGCCCATCGATCCAACATGTCCAGATCCTTCTGAAGAGTCTCCCTAACCTCAAGCAGATCAACACTTCACCCAACTTGGTGTCATCTGCAAGATTTCCAAAGGTGGACTCTTAATTCCTCATCAAGATCATTGATAGAGATGTTGAACAGAAGTGGCCCCAACACTGAGCCCTGGGGAATGCCACTTGTAACCAGTCACAAGCTGGATTTAGCTCTGTTCCCTCCTAGCCCTTGGGCTGGTGTTTGACCCAGCAGAGCGTGCGCCCGTCTGAGCCATGAGCAGCCACTCGTTTTGAGGGAGTGCTGTGGGAAAAGGTGTGTCGGGCTTTGCTGGTGTCCGGGTAGACAACTTCCACAGTCTTTATCTCATCCACTAAGTGGTTCAGCTTGCCATAGAAGGAGATGAGGTTCATCAATCAGGACATGCCTTTCATGAACCCATGCTGACTGGAACTGATCTCCTGGTTGTCCTCTATTAGTTGCGTGATGGCTCTCAAGATGATTTGGTCCATAAACTTCCCTGGCATTGAGGTCAGACTGACAGGCCTGTAGTTCCCCAGATCTCCTTTTGAGCACTTCTTGTAGATGAGTGTCACATTTGCTAAACTGCAGTTCACTGAGACCTCTGTGGTTACCCAGGACTGCGGAGAATCAATGATGGAAAGTGTCTGGGTGAGCACAGCCACTAACTCCTTCAGTACTCTTGGGTGTAATGCATCTGGCCCCATAGACTTGTGTATGTCTTAGTGATGTAGCAGGTCACTACCCTTTTCCTCTTTCATTATGGGAGTCTCATTCTGCTCCCCACCACTGCCTCCCAGCTCAGGACACTGGGTACTCAGGGAACATCGAGTCCTGCCTTTTCCTCATCCTTGGTCACTGTGTTTCCCTTTGCATCTAGCGAAGGATGATGATTTCTCCCTGGTGCTCCTTTTGTTGTTAATGTATTTAAAGAAACATTTTTTATTGCCTTTAACAGAAGTAGCCAGGCTGAGTTCTAGTTGGGTTTTGCCCCTCCTAATTTTTTCATTTTGCCCCTGCATAGATTTGCTGCACCTTTGTAGTCCTCATGAGTGGCCTGCCCACCTTTCCAAAGGCCAAACACTCCCCTCTAGTTCCTGAGTCCCAGACAAAGCTCTCTGTTCAGCCAGGCCGGTCATCTGTGCCCAGGCTCTTAAGCCTTCTTTCTTGAGTGTGTCCAGCCTTCCTGGACTCTTTTGCCCTTCAGGACTGCCTCCCAAATGACCCTGTCAGTCAGTCTCCTGAACAGGTGAAAGTCTGCCCTCTGCAAGTCCAAGGTGGCAGTTCTGCTGACCCCTCTCCTTACTTCTCCAAGAATCAAAAACTCTATGGTTTCATGATCACAAGAAATAATGGGAAAACTGATTCTTCACTCTCTGTGTGCAGTGAAGCTTTCTTTGAGCTCTGCTGAGTTTTGGTGCTTCTGTTGAAAATACAAGTGATGAAAAGTAAGTTTCTGTTGAAAATAATGGGATTACTTCTCTGGGTGAATGTTTATTGATAAATTTATTTTTTCCAGTCTTAAGAGATTAATAGATTTTCATCACTTGATTTTGCATAAGACAAATGTTCTTATCTTACTGGTAATCTTTTTCTGTGCCTTTTTCCCTGTTGTTTACCTTTTCTGATAAGCATTTCCTCCGTTCTCCTCTTCTAACTCTTGGAGGTAGTTGCATTGTCTCTGCAGTGACCGTCCCTGCTCTGCCAGGAAGTGGTCATGTCAGCAGAAGTTGAACCTGTCCTTTCATGTAGCATTGTACTGACAACACACCAGTAGTTTAGTCTGCTCATGACTGCTGTGATAGAACCAGTGGCACTCATTTAGAGGAATAGTTGCATCCTTTAATGCTTCATATATATTTAGTTGTGCTAGCCTTAAAAAAAATTCTTAAATTTCATATTCCACAGGCTATATGACTTATGCATAAAAATGCCAATTGGTTTTATTCTGTTGAAACTGTTGGATGAACTCTTAGACTTGCTATCATGCCTTTTACAATCTCTTTAAAAAGAGAGAAGAGTCTTTTAAATGATTATTTTTCCATTAACAGTGGAATTTCGCAGCAAGGGTTTTAAATCTTAAACGTTGGTGTGTATAAATGAAGAATGACTTCAGTCTTTTTAACACCCCTCTGTGTGATTCCAGGAGCATGATGAAGCAAAGAAAGGAATAATTACAAGTGTTTACAATAAAGTTCTACGTAAAGTTTGTCAGGAGCAAAGTATGATCTCTGTCATACAGAACAGATACCTGGCCAGTGTTGAGGTGAGTTTATGCCTTATTTATTTCTGTCACTCTGATCTGTACTAGTAACACTTTCCTACACAATTTCTTTTTTAAAGATGTCCTCTTACCTTTTCATAAAAATTCAAGGAGTATATTGGTGATGAGAGATTGGCTGGGTTAAAGCTTAAGAATTAAAAGCTGAATTTAAATGGGCCCCAGGCAGTTTCACTAATGCACTGGACTAAAGTATATAAAATAAAATGCTTGACCGTGTTCTGAGGGTATTTTTTCTTTTTCTTTTCCTCCTAGTTCAAAAAACATTCGGAGGAATGGCTGAATAGAAGACCCAATATTAACAACTTATTATCTGTCAAGAAAACTATAAAAAGCTTAAAGGCCCAGTTAAGGTGGAAGCTGGTTGAGAAGAACAACTTTGAGGAAGTATGGAAATGTTACAGTGTTGTTGCTGGTGTCTGTCAGTTTTTTAAATTGGTTTAGAAACATTAATTTGTTTATTTCAAGTAAGTGGTAACTGGATGGAGCAGTTTGTGTGTTCTGACCTGAATTTTGCCTTTAACTGGAAGTTTTACAGGCCTGAGACCAAGCCTGAATGGCTTAAAAAAAAAAAAAAAAAAGTCAGTACATTGCCATTTTTCAGTCCCTAGCCATGACACTGTGCTTTTAACTGAGTCCCTCTGGGGATGACTGCTGTTCACAGCACAAACAGCTTTGTCCAGCTCCTTTTACTGTGCTGGTTTTGTGATTACTTTGAATTTTTACTTTGTTAAAAATGCATGTACCACTGTACCACCCCTTTGGTGACAGAAGTCAATGTCTGTCCTAATTTTCAGGGTTCCTCACTACCCCTCAGGGAAGCCCAAAGAATATAAATATTACTGCAGCTTCTGTGCTGCTTGCATAATTGCACATTAATTAATCTGATGATGCTCAAGGAAAAGAAGAACATGCATGTGTCTCTAAAAGCACTGTAAAGGGGCAGTGAACTTCCAAGAGGGATTTAAAATGAGACACACTAATGAAACCCATTGGGAAAAGGATTCATGATTAATGAAGTGACATGGCATGAGGAAAATGTCTGCTTATGGGAGAAAAACTTGAATGCATCATGGAACTTGGTGTTGCTGGTAGATGAACGACATTGCTGTTGTGATTATATATGATCAGCTAATTAAAAAAGAAAAACCTCTCTGATGTGAAAGACAAGTAGGCAAAGGGCTAGAACATTTGGTCTGTCACATAAATAAAAGGAACACCTTTCTCGGTGATTAGGTTTTAAGAGCTGATCTTGGGTTTCCAGGAAGGTGACTGACAGAAATATACATTTGAGACTAACTTTGACTCCAGAACTGTGATATGGAAGCTGTTTTTTAATCCTGATATAGCTGGTTACCATTGTTGGGTATAATAACAGAATGAGAACTATACACTAACTTTGTTATTCTTAATATAGTCTGATGATTACAACGACTTTGAAATGACAATAATAAAAGAGGAAATTGCTGGTCTGCGGAATAGGGTTCTTCAAGAAATATCCAAGGAGCAAAAAGAATATGTAAGTATTAAACTACTTAGGCAACTAAAACACACCTGTATGAGGCACATATGCATTGCAGTTGCTTTAATGTGTGCTCTGGGTAAAATAAAAAACGTGATTTTGGTAGTGTTGAATGTTAAGATGTCCCTTTTTTGGTAAAAACTGTGGGAGAAGGCAAGCAGACTGGTCAATTCTATCTTTATTTGAACATAGTTTCTTCAGGCTTTCCTCTCGCTTTCCCCCTTCATAAGGGGGTCAGGTTCTCAACCCAGAAGAGCTGCAGGTGAAAGTGTAAGCTCATTTGCTGAAGAAAGATTTTATTTCCTGAAAGAAGGGGAATTGTTTTCCTTACGACTATGTTAAAACAGGCTTTTATCATGAAGCAAAGATCACCCTTTCTGCAAGTCTTCTGTCTAGAGGGAAGAATTGGAAACCATTGCCTTGTGAGCAAGCAGAAGGGCACCAGAATTTGTGGTGGTGGTATACTTACCTCTCCATACCTAATGTTTGTATTCAGTGGTTACCTTGTAGCATTACAGCTGTGTGGGATCTGGAGATGCCTGAGATGGTGGCCTGGTCTGTGTTACTACTTGGTTTCTATGTTCTTTCACTACCTGTAGTTAAGTTGTTTTCCATTTTCCTTTTTTTTTTTTTTCCCCCCCATTCTAAAGCCTCTTGCAGAAAAGATGACCTGTTTTCTGTTGTAGCTGTTTGGGACCTTAGTACTGCCCACCCTCAACAGATTTAAAAAATATATCCGTGTTGAACTTCTGTATTCATGTTGTAGATAGTTGTCTGTTTTCTGTTGTTTTTTAAAAAGCAAATGGCAGTATTAGTTTGAATGATCATAGAATCGTTTAGGTTGTAAAAGACCTTTTAAGATCAAGTCCAACCTTAATATTGTGGAAGGAAGTACAGTCATGTTCAATGTACATTTGACTGTCCTGGATAAACATTGCAAATGTCAGTGTGTATTCTTATGTCAGAAACTAGTCACCTGAAGCTGTGGGCCTTGTTTCCTTTATTTAGGAGAAGCTTACTTATCTGGTACAGAAATGGTTCCCTGAGCTACCACTTCTTTATCCAGAAGCAGGAATTCTGAACTATATGGTAAGCAGAGATTGTGTTTGAATGCACTGTCAGTTATTGTTTTGGGCCCTATCAAGGCTCTGCATCAACCGTGCTTTGCACAGTCTCTGTCTGTCTGGGGGCTGTACACCCTAAGCATTGTTGTGGTTTTCCTTCTCCCCCTCTTCTGAATGTTCAAGGAATGCATTTCATTCGCTGCCTCATCATGGTCAGCCTCTTGGTAACAGGTGCTGGAACTTTTTTCCATGACCCAACTGGTGTTTGCTCTGCTAAGTTGATTGATGAAGAGCAGAGGTAGTTGAAGGCTCTGAATCTTACTAGAAGTTAAATGCCATGTGCTTACCCTGGATACCTGTTTGTGCATGTGCTTCAGAATTCCGGTGGACTGCTGACGTGCAGCCTGGAGCGAGACCTTTTGGATGGTGAGCCTATGAAGGAACTGAGCACGAAGCGACCTTTAATGTGTTCAGAAATTCAGGGCCAGAAGGTGCTTCTAAAGGTAATGTTGGCACTGGCTTACTGGTTGGTGCTGCAGGAGAGGCCTTGCCTTATTAACAGGCTGATTCTGAGTGAACTCCGCTGTTTCTTTCACATCACTTTGTTTAACAGCCCTTTTCTGGTGGCAGAGTTTTGTTGGGCCATGTAGAACCTGAAGTGTTGTTTTCTTTCAGGGTTGCTTCTGTGTTGATTACTGATTTTTTTTCTTTCCCCCCCCTTCTTTTGAGTACTTCTGTGGAGAACAGTCCTTCCTCTCTGCTGTCTGTTCTTTCTGGCATCTGGTGGACCTTTTATCCTGTTCATTACTTCTGCCTCTTTTTGCAGATGCTGGTTTGTCTTCAGATGATTTCAAGGAGAAATTTCAGGAACTGCTGATTTTTCTTTGCTCTGCCTCTCTACCAATCAGCTAGCAATTGGAAAAACAGGGGATGTTGTTACAAGAGGCATAGTTGTAAATACTGTTCTTGCCTTTGGCTTGGCTTATTTAAATCTCAGATAAGAGACATGCTCCCTGTTTTCTTACAAACTTTCTAAGAGTTAATAAGAAAAGGGGAATGAGAGTTGTAAGATTATGGAAACAGTATGCCAGTTGGAATTGACTTTTGCATTAAGTACAAGAGTTGTGTTAAGTACAAAACAGTTGTTTGATGGCACCTAACAAATATGCATTTCTTTAATTAAAAAAATGTTTAGTAATAGTAATGTTACAGACATTAGGAGCAATAGCTTGGGTATCTTGTTTTGTTTTTAAGGGCTATTCTGTAGATGTAAGCTCAGAAGCCAAAGTCATAGAAAGAGTTGCCAAGTATCACAGAGCTTGGAATCAACAGAAGGAGAAATCCGGATTATTGCAACTGTTGTTCCTTCTTTTCTGCAAGGCAAGATTCAACCTGATGATCTTGGTTTCTAGTTTAAGCTGAAAGACATGCAGTTGGACCTTAAAACTTTAACTTATTTTTAAGTTGGAGCATTGAGTCAGAAAAATATCTCCTTTCTGAGTTTAGATACACTGTCTACTTAGTAAAACTTTTTAAATCTAGTAAATTGATCTATCACACATCCACTGCGTGTTAAACTTCCCAATATTCCTGATATTTGAAACAATCTATTTTTCTTTTTGTTGTTGAAGTCTGATCCTTTGGTATATGTAATGATCCCATACTACCCAGGAGCAAGTCTGGGAGATTTACAGGCTGATACACCTTTAACTTTAGAAGTAAGTATAACTGCTTACGCTATTAGCATTTTATTTTGCATGCCTTTTGACTGAACTCTTGTTTTTTCACTTCACATCCTGGTGGTGTTTCACCAGTGTGCTTCCTTTGGTGGCTGACGGTGACTGGGCGAAGCGGCACAGGATGGCTTCGCCCACATTCCTAGTGTCTGGTCAGGCAGTATCACTTTCTTCTTTTATTGAAATTAATGCATCAGCATTAATTATAGTGTATTTTAAGAAGTACTGGAGGTGAAGGGGTTAGATGTTCAGGGGCAGAAATTTCTGCATTGAAGTTTTGGAGAACTTCTGTGTAGGTAATTTTTTTTCCCTCTTCTCCTGCACTTCATTCCCCTCCTTTTCCTTTTCTTCCTCCTTGCACAGTGTATAGGCAGTTTGGACAGTCCTCCCTTCTCGTAGAAGCAGTAGCTAGAAGCTAGTACAGTGTTCTTTCTAGTTCTGTTTGGCTTGAAGCTTCTGTTCAGTGACTTGAACTTACTTGTAAAGGTCCAAGTTACACCATTTTTGGGGTTTGGGTTCTCTCCCCCTGAATATGTACAAACCTTGCAAAAAAAAAAAGTTTTAGTTCTGGGTAGAGGCATACTTGATACTGTGCTTTGTTTTTTCCATATATATCTTTGTAATAAAAAAAATAATTAGGAGGCATTAAAAGTGATGAAAGGAGTGGCCCAAGGTCTACAAACATTACATGGAGCTAATATAGTACATGGATCTCTGCATGGAAATAATGTTTTTGCTGTGAATCGAAACCAAGGAATTGTTGGAGACTTTGATTTCACAAAACCAGAGGTAAAGAAAAAAAAAAATCTTTTTGTGACTTTTAATCAGAGTTATATCTCAAAGCAGACAAACGTGTTTGCAGTTTGAAATATCTATGGGTAAATGTGCTTAGCAATGAGAATCCTGCTCCATAATTCTGAATATGGTTGGGTACTCCGAGTCTTGCTGAAATTTTTGTAAACTCAATCTGATCTTGCAGAGGAACAAAAGGATTACTGAGTATGGGCTCTGGGTAAACAAAACAGTGGAATAAAAAAGAGAAGCTACAGTAGTTTTTGGCTGTCTCTTGTATGTTTAATGGTAAGCAGCACCATCTGAGCTGAGAGTAAACTCATGGTTGAAGAAGGGCTAGTCAAGCTCATATGAAGTGTTTGCCTATCAAACAGGTAATGGAGTTCTAGTCTGTGTTCTAATCTGTTGTGTTATCTGATAAATTAACACGATTTTACATGTTGCCTACATATACCTCTGTTTATATGTACTTCTTATTAAGTCCTCAATTTCTGTAGTAAAGAATTCCATAGCTGTTCTTGGGAAAAATGTAGTACTCTTCAAGAACACAAGCTAATTTTTTTCTCTTTGTTGTGTTTATACAGCAAAGTCTCCCATAATGGTACCTGTTCTGTAGTCAACTTTTGACTTTCTAAACTCAAGTTGTTTGAGCTGAAAAGTTTTTGTGCTAGAGGTCTGCTTCCTACTTATTTAGTTTTTACAATAATAATGTCATTATATTAATGAACATAAATAAAAGTAAGTTTCTTTGAGAACCCCTATTTCTGCTTTGGAAATGCATTATCTGTTCATCTTATGAAGAGTGTCAAATGTTTGGACAGCAAGATGTGCTTCCCTTGAAACAAATTTCAATTTTCAACATGCTAAAGAGAGGTGCTTTAAAAGTTTTTGACAGCTGAATTTTCTAAAAGGTCATACTCAGTACACATAGTGTCATTGTGAAAATTGCAAGAGCTGAAGCAGACCAGCCTTGTCTTTACTCCTCTCTGCAGGCGTGAGCTGTGCTGAAATGAGCAGCTCTTGTGTGGTGGAGCAGGAAGGTTCCACCTGTGGTTCACAGCTTGGCTCCAGTTGGTGCCTTCTCTGTCGGGGTGTCAGCACTGCCCAGTGCTTGTACTTCCTGTGTGATCACAAACACAGGAGTGAAGCTGGGAACTGATACATTGCCAATTTGGAGACTAGTCTTTTCCAGTCTGGCTGTAGCTGGTGCTGGCTGCTCTTGTGGAGTGGGATAGAAACTCAGGGTCTAGCTTTTATTTTGGCAGTAGACAGTCCTAAAATATGCTGGAAAACAGGATGGAAGAAGCAGCTAGTTTCAATCCAAGTTCAGGAAGGCAGAGAAGAAGAAGTAGGAAAGCTGGCAGAACTGAACTTTAGAAATTAAGTTCTCCAAAATAGTGCCAAATGTCTTCTAATATTTGTGATTTTTTTTTTTTTCCTAATTTGAGAAGTCTTACAATTTGTATTCTTTACCATGTTATCAGCTTTAGTAGTTCTAGTATGGAGTAAAATCTGCCATCCCTATTTTTCTATTACAGTTATAGATTATAGATGTATGGTGTTATCTCTTTTTTCCTTTGTGCACCACACTTTGATCAGTAAAGCAGGATTTTACATTTCAGTCTGGGTCAGCACAGAACTCTGTAGTAAAGTTGTGGGGCACATTTAAAGGGAGAAGAAGATACATCTGCTTCAGTGTGCTGTTGGTTATGCTTGAAATTACAGGTACAGTGTTTTCCCCTCATAGGAACAACGTGCTGCTGCAGACACTATGGTTGTCAGTACCTTAAGCTTGCTTTCTCCTGAACTGAAAATGGGACAACCAGCTTCTCCAGCCTCTGACATGTATGCTTATGGCTGCCTTCTCTTCTGGGTATGTTACAGCTTGTGGGAGAGTCTCTAGTAATGTTATGGAATTGTAGCAGGCTTATAAAGATCAGTAAACGTTATCTCTAACTTCTGTTTTGAACTGTTTGGGAAGTAAGTTTTCATATTTTCAGTGATTGGGAGTCATGGTTATGGGCAGAAGACAGTGCATTTTTCTGTAAAATATACAATGTAATTTGTATAGTAATATGAGCAAAATTTATGCTTTTGTTCCTCATTCTGTGAATTGTCAGTTCATACTGAATTTCCTATTTACTCCTTGTGAGCCTTCTTTCCTTCTCTTTTTTTTGTGATCTTGCTGCTGAGGAATTACCCAAACCAGGAATGGGAATATGAAGGCAGGGGTGTGGCATAGGTTTTGTTGCTGGCAACAGTATTTAGATGGTTGTTTTGATCCTTAGTGTGTGTGCTGGTAGGAAGAAGAAAGCAATCTACTGTGCTGTACTAGGTGATATGCTGCACACACCATCTCCTCTATCTCATTGTTGTTTTCTGGCACTGTATTGCTGCTTCTCCAACTCAGGGTGTCAGTGCCATGTGTTCTGAACGGGAAGAGTTCAAGTCTCCCAGACTTGAAAAGCAACAAGCTACCCAGCAAGTGCTTTTGCACGAGCTGAAAAATCGCAGGCAGTGATTTTGCTTGAGCACTCGGTACAGGGGAACTGGTTCACTGAGTACCAGTTGGAGCTCCAGGTGCATGGGAGTCTTCTGGGAAGCACTGGCAGCTCCATCAGCTGCACAGTGATGGCTTCAGGAATCCCTTCTGTGCCTTAGCGTCTTAAAAACACTTCTGACAGAGACAGAAACTACTAGTTGATAGGTAGCCACTGTCAGTTGCCTGTACTGAGAAGGTGAAGGTAGTTCATGTAAAAGTCACTCTCCATTATGTTTTATTCCCAGTTTAGGGAGCAGTTGCTTAAAATTAAGAATTTTTTATACTGAAATACGTGAACTAATGTGTAGCTAATATCAGAGATGTCTATAATTAATTTGGTATGGGTTACTTAGAACACTTTCAGTACCACTGTTGAGGTCTTCATCTGTTCAGAAAAAAGGTTTTCGCAAGTAGAAGTGAGTAAAAAAAAGATACAGTAAAAAAAATCCTCACAAACCAAAACAGAAAAGGAAACCCATGTTTTAAGATGTCAGGGTCTGCTTGAAGAGAGGATCTGGGATGCAACAAGATTGGAATTGTTCTGAAACCTCATCCAAGTGAAAAGAGAAAAAAAGCCTCTCCCTTGAAGTTTCCTGTAGCAATCAGTTTTCACTTGCAACCTGAAATTTCCTTGACTGATGTTTTCGTTAAGCTAAAAGGAAAAATCTCACCAGTGTTATGCACTATGTATGTTTTTGTTCACAGCTTTGTGTTCAAAACCAGACGTTTGCCATAAAAGACGATGGGACACCTGAGGTGGATGTGATTGACATGGTATGTTGATTTTCAGATGAGGAAGACTAGACTGCTCTTGTTTAGAGATGGTTAATCAATTACACTTATAAAAGTGTATTGAACTTTATTCCTTGGTTTGTGGTGTTTGTGTGTGTGTGTAAAAACAAAAACAACAACAACTAAAAAAACAAAACAAAAAAACCCCACACCAACAACTTCCCCGTGTCTCTGAAACAAATGCACAGTTATGTGGACTCTGCACAAGATGGATTTGTGTTGCTGCTTTCATTCTTTCTACTCTCAACTGTTTGCCTACTGTATGCCAGCAGCAGTTCTCACCTTGAACAATATTTTCAGTCCCTTTTTTGAAGCTTATCCTTGCCCAGTGTCTCAGTGACTCTTTGAGAATAAGAAAGAGACATGTCTGCCTTCACTTTTCCCATCTTAGGTCATTAACTTTGAAGTTGATCCTTTGCTAACTTACTTACTTCATGGATGTTAATCATAAGCAGATACTTCTATGGCCTTCTCTCTGTGCCTTATTTACCTGAGTGCTTGTCTTTCCTTGTGTTTATTTGTTGTGTAACTCTCCTCCCCATAAGCTTTCAGCCGTATGGCCAGGAGTTAAGACCTTTTTTCTTGCCTGCTTTCAACTTCTACCTTTGCTACAGGTGATTCCTCTTCCTCCTTATAAAAATTGGAATAACAAAAGACGTGATTGTATATAGTTTAAAGAAATTTTCTGGGAGGTTCATGGACCTTTTTCAAATTATTAACCTTCTCAGACTAGTTTCTGCTTCATGCTTTTTGCTGTACTTCTGCCTATCTAGTTACTGACTGCTTTGTTCTTGTCCTGTGTCATTCCCTTCTCCCTTGAGTGGGTTGTGCTTATGTTTTTTAATCTGTGTGGACTACTTCTCATATCATGCTTAATTCTGTTGATCTTACATTAAGTGAGAGCTTACTACTTTATCTAGATTTGTAAAGGCCATGAAACTCCTTAAATCAAGCCTTATACTGTTATTAAAAAGCCTGCAAGCAAGTGACTCTGTTTAGTTTCTAAGTGAATTTTTAGGTTATGGATAAAATTTTTTTAAGGCATATAGGGAAGAGTTAGAGGTTAATTGCCATGTCTTCCAGAAAATTAGAAAAATGCTTTAAATGGAAAAGTAGAAAACAAGGCAATGGAGTTGCTGTTGTTCAGACAAATATGGGTTGTTTTGTCAAGGGAAAAAGCCAAAAAATAAATCCCTCTTTATTGGTTATAGTTGTGTGTTTATCCTTTGCCTGCTTTGCAGAGATACAGCATGGGGCTAAATTACTAGAGCTGTGTTCATTAGGAGCTTAGTGTATCCTGGTTACTGTGTTTAGGTTAAGAGACTGCCATGATACAGTACCAGGCTGACAGGGCTGTGGTGGCTCCCGAGCCCAGGCAGGGCAGCTTGTGTAAAACTGCATAACAGTGCTGTCAGTAATCTTGTTTTATTAGATGACTCTTACCCTCTACAGTATGTCTTTCAATACATTCATTTCAGCAGTGTTCTCCAGTGGTGAAAGCATTACTGATAAAGCACAGGACTGCCTACCAAATACCTTTGCAAAATTCTTTCCAGTGTGACATTACCATGAAATATAAAAGAATACAACATGCAGTGTTTGGGCAGGGAGGTGGTCCTGTAAAGAGTGTTTCTTATCACTCATTAGGTTGCTTGGTTTCTTACTGAAAATGAGACAAAACCCATGAATCATGAAATGCTATAGGAAAGGAGATTCAGTACTTCATGATTCACCATTAGGGCTAACTGGGGGGGGTTAAATGTATTCCACAAAACTTGTACAGAATTGCCTGCCCATTATGCATAATCCTTAGATACTGAAAAACCTGACTTTCTCTCTTGCATAAGGGGAACTTAATTGTTCAAGGAAGTAGCAAAGATTTATTTGGACAGTAAAAATAGGAGTTCTTTCACTTCTGTTTTCCATAAAATTTCTGCTGTGATCGTGTTTTACAGATAAAGTTTGAAGTATGGACATCAGTGTAAGGGTATTTTTCTTCTGTATTCTTCTGTAGCAGGTATCTTTTGAAGTGCAAACAGTCACCTTTTTCTCAAAGACAGTTAATGAGTTTAGCCATTATTTGTTTTAGCAGAGATTAATTCTTTTTACAGCTTTTAGTAAGAGCAAATTTCTTTAACTTCTTTCCCTGGTAAAAAGCAGCAGCATTTGATTTTGACCTTGTCAGGTGATACATTTCTAATCATTATATATCGTTGTTGGCAGTTTTTAAGGATTCGTCCTGAATGTCTGTGCATGCACGTGCACCAACCACTGAAGTCCACCTGAAAGCAATCTGTGCTGCCTGCAGTGCACAGGAACACACATGAGGCTTTTACTAAGAAATGTAATACTAAATAAATACCTTTTGGCTGTGTCTTGGGGAATCTTTCAGACCTCTGGTTGTTAATCCTTGTCCCAGTTCTTGGGGAAAATCTATTTTGCTTTTAAGTGCTTTATCTGTAATCAGCTTATTCAGAATTAATCTCCATGCCCATCTGCAGGCTCTTGACAGGCTGGTAATTTCCCTTCCATCTTGGTCTCGTGCCCAGAGGAGCTGCATACTTGGAACCTGTAAAATTGTTCTTGTTTTCAGCAAATGTAAAATTGCTGCAGGAACATAACGTTAAGCTTTTAAACAGAGATATTAGTGTTGGGGAACTGTTGAGGAAAATCAGAGTTTAGGGATAAGATCTTGTAGCCACTCATTTAGCCATGCCAGGCTTTGGTGTTCAACGTGTTTCAGCATCCAGTTTTGCCTATTAAAAAAAAAAAAAGTAAATAAGAACAAAAAACAATGAAATGGAGTAGGTGTGATGAAAAGTCCTACAGCAGTATTCCTTGTGGAATCAGTTTTCTGTTTCCTTAGTGCAAGAAGATGGTGAGAAGGGGATATATGTTGTTGAGAGACACTTGATACTATCATGAAATGTAAATACACAAGTACAAAGCTTTTCAAGCTCTTTAAATGCTCGGGCTTCATTAACTTTTAATTTTATAGAGGAATCGTGTAGTCATGGTTCCTTCCTGTATTTCATTGCACATGTTTGTATCTTCTTACCTAGAGATTTTTCCACTGAGTGTTTAAAATGTTCCCATTGAGTTTTGGTAATCTAGATCTCTAGATCAGCATTTGAGAGTCTCCCTTGTCCAAGTCCCATGTGTGCTCCTCTTCCCTCAACAGCTGATGTTTATGCATATGTGTAGCAGCTGTGATTTTATGTTTTGTGTATGGGGTCTAGCACTGTTAATGTGCTAAGCGTTAGCACATTAGGCATGTAATCCCCTCTGATAAATCCAAAGAGCCTAAGTGATAGGTTAATAGCAAAATAACTGTTGGTGGTTTAGAGCCCATTACTTTGGTTTTCCTTCCTCTCCCACCCCTGCCCCCAGCAGAGAGATAAAGCAATATGACAGAAGTTAAAAGATGAAGTTGTAGAAGGTGAATGGCACCTGTTCTGTTCCTTTTTGGGTCCTGCACTTGGGTCACAACTACCCCATGGAATGCTACAGGCTGGAAAGCTGCTTGGCAGAAAAGTACCTGGAGGTGTTGATCACCTGCTGCCTGAACATAAGCCAGCAGTGTTCCCAGGTGGCCAAGAGGGCCAGTGGCATCCTGGCTTCAGAAATAGTGTGGGCAGGAGGACTGGGGAGGGGATTATGCCCCTGCACTCAGCACTGGTGAGGCCACACCTCGTGTACTATGTTCAGTTTTGGGCCCCTTGCTACAAGAAAGACATCGAGGTTCTGGAGCATGCCCAAACAAGGGCAACGAAGCTGGTGAAGGGTCTAGAGCACAAGTCTTAAGAGGAGTGTCTGAGGGAGCTGGGGTTGTTCAGCCTGGAGAACAGGAGGCTGAGAGGAGACTTTTATCACTCTCTACATCTACCTGAAGAGAAGTTTTAGCGAAGTAGGTGCTGGTCTCTTCTCACAAGTAAGAAGTCATAGGAGAAGAGGAAATGGCCTCAAGTTGCACCGGGGAAGTTTAGGTTTGATAGATGTTAGGAGAAACTTCTTCACTGAAAGGTTTATCAAGCCCTGGAACAGGCTGCCCAGGGAGGTTGTGGAGTCACCATCCCTGGAGGTATTTAAAAGATGTGTAGATGAGGTGCTTAGGGACATGGTTTAGTGTTGGGCTGGCAGAGTTAGGTTGATGGTTGGACTCTATCTTAAAGGTTTCTTCCAGATGAAATGATTCTATGATTCTTAGTAGAAAGACCAGTATTTCTCTAATTTACTAGTAGTTCAGAGAATTGATATTTTGAAGTATAACCACTCAAGCTCTTCTGTGAAGTCTGCTGGTAGCACATTTACAGACCTGGTGCTGAATGTTTGCTTTTCTTCTGTTGTTAGTGAGCACTATAACTGTCAAGTGTTGCTGGCCATGGGGAATACTATGGTACAAACCTTTGTGAGGGCCTTGGGCCCAAAGCACTTACAAGATATGTTCCATCAAATACTTGGTATTTGTAATCGAGTTTGTTTTGCTTATTGACAAAATCCTTCTCCCTCTGTTTGTAGGATGATAAAGTTAAGTCTCTTCTCCTGAATTTGTTCTGCTGTGACAGACTGACAGCTGAGCAGGTGCTGAAGGATGATTGCTTCCTTGTAGTTGATGAGATTCCAGTTTCACCATAACCAGATGAAGAGCATGAGCCACGTGAAGAACATGATTCTAAGAAGACCGATGAAAGAAAAAGTGCAATTAACTGGGGAAAATGGAGGAAACCCATTCAACAGATGATGAACTTTTCCTTTAGGTGTTTGAGACTTCTGGACTTGTTTGGTTTTGAAATCATTGTCCTGATATGAAATGTCAATATGTAAAAGTATGTTTGGTAGGTGCAGTCGTGTTTTGTGATTACACAATCTTTGCTGCATTTTCTTTTAAGTATGTTTTACTCTAAAGTGTTCAGGGGTGTAAGTGGGGTGTTACTGATTGTATTCTTTATCCGCCGTTTTCTTCATCTGTTACATAGGCTTTAAATTTACAGAGAATAGACTTGTTTGGTGCTAAAGATCCTTAAGATGAAGCTTTAGTGACTTTGTTTTTTGTATCCAGTTTTCTCTCTCTCTTTTTGTTGTGATTCCAGATAACATGTTCCTTTTAAAGGTGCTCTAAGGTATTACCTTTTTGCTGGAGTTTTTTTGTGATTTCATAGACCTATGTTCCTACAGCAACTGCCTTAAAGATTTTTTTAAAAGTACTGCTTTGACAACTTGTAAGGCAAATGGAGAGCAGCCTGCCTCTTTTCTGTGTTTCTGCATTTCAAAAAGGCAGTTGGCTTTCTAGAGAGCAGGCATCCTTCTAGTTGCTGCTTTCCGGTGCTGCTGCCAACCAAAATACTACATATACACATTTGTAATAACTACTGTTAATTTGCTCTACATGTGTGTCTGTATATCATCTGTTCTTAAATGTTGTTTGCAATAGCTATAAAGGTGTGATTTTTTTTTTTTTTCTTCTTGAGCAGGTTTGTTTGCCTTTAACACTTTGCAGTTAATGTAACCATTGAACGAGTTTTGTCAGCTCTTTATTTTTACAGGAAATTGTGGCTTATCTTTATGAAGTTTTTCGTTGTCAGAGACTGATCAAACCGTGCAGAGTGTAGCAATGTATTTGGCCTCTGGGTGTTGCTCTTGGACAGCTCTGTTTGCAGTCTAGTGTTTGTAGGAGTCACTGAAGCTGCATGTTGTTGGATGAAGAATGTCAAAATGCAGTATGTACTGGGCAAGAGGCAGCACCAGGGGAATTGGAGAGCCCTCAGGTAAAATAATACAGTCGACACTGGGTAGAAGATACCACCTTGGCAGGTCCACCTTTGATATTAGACTTGGTTTTCCATTCTTAAACCAATTATTTGTTTCATATGGAATAGCATGTGAGATCCTGTTCTCATTAAATTATAATGATTTTCTCTGTAACCGATGATAGCGAAGCCTTTGTTCAAAAATTCTACATCAAAAATACTTTTGTTATTGTGATAAATATTCTGTGATTTCTGTAATGAAAACAATACCTTGTCTTTTGTCAATGAAAATAAACAGTTTGGCAGTTTTGTGGGATGATCTCCAAATACTGGTCGCAGTCTTTCAATGTTAATAAAAGACTACCTTTAATTTTAATTAATGTTAAACACTGAATAGAAGTTAGAAGACTAACCTGATAGTTTATGTTGTGCTGTGTCATGTATACTAGAATAAACTTTAGCCCACCTTTTCTACTCTAGAGTCCCTGTAAGCTGAAGTGTACTTATTAAATTCCCAAATTGCTAATCCTCTCGATTTTCTGAAAACAGAAGTTTCTGTGTATGTTTGATGAAAAAACTTGGAGTCTTTTGAAAATCTCTACCAGCTGTCAGTAATATGGTTTTTATACGTGGAACCTAGGATGAGATTTTTTTTTTCTTCTACTTCTTTAAAAACCTGCAGTAAAACTTCTCAAATGTTTTGGTACATATGAGTGTCAGGGCATGAAACAGCCTTTCCATTTGAATTAAGTGTTGATTATAGTTGTTGCCAGTTCTGTTTGTTTCTACTTTGACCTTTTCTGTAGTAATTTTGTAGCTCTGGCTTTCTTTTCATTGCTTACTTCTGGAAGCCTTAGAAAAGAAGTTGGTCTGGGGTCATGTTGCACAGCTGTCCTGCCAAAGCTGAATCCTAGCTAACCCATGGTAATGGATTGCCTGCTGTTTTGTTTGGGACATGCATTTTTCAACTCCATCTCTTCTGGGTAGAAGATGAGTATTTACAGGTTGGAGAGGAGAGGCTGAAATGATCCTGTAGGAACAGTCTTTCTTCGGCTCACTTGCTACTTCATCTGAGAAGCCCAAATGAAACTTATCTGACTCTTCCTTGTTGTCAGCATTTGGCAGTTTTAAGCATTGTGCAGTTTTAAGCAATGTGCTCACACAGATCAGGTTGGTGGGGGCCATTCAGGGGCTGAGTATTGCTTCACTGGGAAATAAGGACTTCAGTTGCTGTCATGGGCCCAAGGCGTTCATACCTTCTTGTGGCCTCTAATGGTAAGTAAGGCTGCAGCCCCAGGTCTTGGTGCTGATGACTTCCTGTCATGAGGACTGTTACCTTTGTTGCTTTTTGAGATTTGTGTTGTCTCTCCACGCCTTACCCTAGTGTCCACCAGTTGTGTGTTGGTATCAGTCTCAGCTTTCTCTCAGGACATAACACCCAAGTCAGCTACTACAATTGCCTTCTGGGCTGTGTGTTAGGTAACAAATTCACATAAGAGGGAAAACTTTCTTCGGGCACCTGTGAACAACCACTTCCTCTGGCTCTACCTAACCTATCCTGAAGACCTGGGACAGGGTTGATTTTCTTTGGGAAGAGGAGGAAGAAGGTTGGGAAGTCATTGACATTTCTTATTTTCATGGTTTGGGTGCAGCTGTGGGAACTACTTCTTTCTGAATGCTGCACTTCTGATCACTCCTGGAGTCTCCTGCTGTTCTGTTCACTGCCTCTTAATCTTCATGCCTGCCCTAACATCCATAGTAACATTACTACATCCTTACATGTAGTTAGCTGCTCACGCCAGCAGGTAACACTTCTGCATGTGTAGCTTATGTACCATGCCACACCTCACTTGCAGCTCCTGCAGCAGTTGTTTTGAAATGGGTTTCTCACAGCAGATGCACCAGGTGGCTGGATAAGCTGAAAGCAGTTGCCAAATTGTACTGTCCTGCAGGGTTGTGGAGGGATCTGCTGGTGGGACATGGAATTCTGTTCTGTTAGCACCAGCCAGCACTATGTGGGAATTGGGTTTTAGCAGCTTTAGATGCAAGGGCTGGAATACATCAAGATCACACCATGTAGAAGCATCTTCATTAAGGTAAAAGCATTAGAATTGGAATGAGCTCTTTGAATATATTTTATTATTGCTTTTTTTCCTTGGCATTTATGTGTTACAGCTGCAAGGTATGTTACCAGTAGGTGGGGTGAAACAAGGTTTGCTTTGCTGTGTGAAGATGTGATGTTGGTTTGTAGTTGTTAGTCAGCCTATGGGTGAGACCCCCTTCCACTTGCTGTACCTCAGAGCTGCGAGAGCTTACAGCTTACACAGCTCCCTGACACATTTCTTCACTTGTGAACTTCCATCTATACAACTTCCCTGCAGTCCTAACGATTGGCAGCATGGGCAAACAGGCTGGATCTGTTTTGTCTCAACCCGACAGTCCCAGTGTGGACCAGAATTTTTTGGTTTCTGGAATATGGTATTAGTGTTTAATCTGTCAGTTTAGCAACCCTCTGGCTTCTTTATGATCTTTTTCAACTCCATGGCCTGGTGTTTCAGCAGAGGCAAGAGCTGTACCACCTGGCATCAGTATACTGGGTACGGGCAGACTTGACAGCTCTGGAGAAAGAGTCCTTGTTTGAAGTGGAAGAAGATGGTGCATGTGAGCCTTGGGGCTTTGCAATGCAAGATATTATTCTTCTAGATGACTCAACAGTAAGTTTTGCCCTTACCAGGTGTGTCTTGGAATCCCTGTTCTCCCCAATGTGGGCAAGGATGCCCATGCTGTTCAGGTGCATCTTGTGGCCCTGCAGTCAGTACGTGGTTGCATGTAGTTCAAGGGCTGAGGGAATGTTTACCGTGTCCGTCGCTTGCCAAGTTCTCCATGCATTGCTGCAGCTTCTCTTTCTAACCAGCTTCTTGAGAACTTTTCTTCTATGCCCTGTCTTTACTCTGGTAATAAGGATTCTTTGTTGCTCTCCAAGACAGTCTGTTTTGGTGTTATCAAAACCTGAAAATATGTGGAATTCAAGTTCTTTATAGTGTTGCCTTATGCACTCTGTGGTGGGTTGTTATTGCCTGGTCCCCCACTTTGCCCTGCCAAAGCAGGAGTAGACTGGACACAGGCACAATTCTTGAAGAAGATGGTAAGGGTTATGTACCCAGTAGACTGTCTTTCAAGTGTCTTGAGGTTCAACAGAAGAATTTTAAGTTCTAATTAGTATGCTTCAAATTTTTATGCTCTGTTTGCATGAACTGTGGTACATCACAAGCTGTGCAAGTTCTACCAAGTGAGACTCTGAACAAACATGCAAGAAGCCACCTTCATCTTGAAAGTCACAACCTAAATGTATATATGCAGTGCAACTCAGAGGATTTCTTCATGTGTATCTCACTTTCGGTTTAAAGAATCTATTCATTCTCCCTTAGGAGAGAAACCAGGAGAATTTCTTTGGAGCAAATAGACTGAAGATACTTTGTTTCATCTACTGTGGTGAAAGCTGGATAAATACTCCAAAGGAAAAGTCTACTGACCTTGATACCAGGAGATGCAGGTGAAGGCTGCTGGCACTGGAAGTGGTTTTATTTGAAAAACATTCCCCCCTGCCCTAACTTTGTTTAAAGTTGAAATCTGCTGTTGGGAAATGTGGATCTGTTCCATAGCAATTTTTATTGTAATTTAAGAAAACTGTCAAAATGATGATTCCAGAAAAGCAATGCTGATGTCCTTTTGAAGGCTGGCTGTTGTCATGTTCATGTTGTGGGTGTACTGTTGTTGTAAGCTCATAATTCTGCCTGTAATTTTTATCCTCTATCTGTGCCGGCAAGAGGTGGAGCTGTGTTCATTTGTTCTTCCAGCTGTCACCTTTGCCCTGAATTTTGTAGGATC